GCGTTTAAAGTATTTAGTGAGAAAGATGCCAAACCATGTGCTCATTTAATCACATCACTTAGAGTCGTGTTAACTTTGAAATAGTGAGGTCGGACAGCTTGCTCTGAAAGAATAATGAAAGTTTGCTCTCAGTTTAAAAATGAATCTTCATCTTTTCTGATACATGACACACGAGCAAGTCTCTCTGCAGTCACGGCACTGTGACTCAGGTCCCAGTCTGGTGAAGCACTAGTTAATAAAATTTGCTACATTATTTTAAAAAGAAAAAAAGAAAAAAAGGAACTCACATAGCAACAGGGCTGTAAGCCAAATGGGTCATTAAAAAAAATGTTATAAATAAAAACACACTCATCCATTCTAAGCTTAAATCCTTCTGGGTTGTTGTCAGAGTGATTGGGAGTTATGGTAGATAAGAGTCTTAAATAAACAATGTTCCTCCCATCTGTCAAAACCAAGAATCTAATTAAGTATTTACAATAAGAATGACAAACAGCAGCCCTGCAGCTTTTATAATTCATTCTCAACATGATCAAAACAGACAAGTAACTGTCATACTTCTGTGTGGTAAACGTCCAACACATCTTTATTTCACCCCTCCCAAAAAAAAGTGCAAATCTGAAACAAAGAATATGCTTAGATGATCTTGAACAGCAGTTTCTACATTGCTATTACATGTATAGTGTTTGGCTGTATGACTGCATTACGCTCCCATTATAAAGTATGCTTGGTTACCAGCAGTCAGGTCCTGTCCCCATTATTTCTTATTATTCTGCTCCAATAAGCCTAAAAACACTAACACATATACAGGGTGAACCAGAGGACACAAATGTGCATTATTATTGGCAGCATTTTGGCTTTAATTGAACCACCAGGGACATATAATAACAGTAGTTATGACAGATTAATAATTTGTCTTAATATTCAATGTGAATGTGATGGAAAATGAACAGAAATGTGTAATTAGCTTTGCTTGAATACATAAAGAATTCAAGACTTTTGCTCAGAGATGCAGCCCAGTGGATACCCACAATGAGCTCCAACCCTTTTGGGTCAGGTTATGTAAGAGTTTTTCCAAATTGCCCTGGTGCATTTCAGTTTAGTATAAAGCTACTCATGTACTCATGATACCTTGATGGATAGTATCTGTAACATGACAGGTTAGGGATTAAAAGTCTAAAAAGTATAGTAAAGTGGGTGTATTTAGCAAATGCTCAAGAGCAAATAAATATATGAGGAAATAAAGTTCTTGCAACACTTACCTGTATGTTTGTCCATCACACAAACACTGATATATACAGGCAGACAAGGAGGCTGCCAGTGTGTGCATCACATAGATCTGAAATAAGAAGCAATGAAAAAACAACAACAAAATAAAACATTAATTAGCATGAGAGTTCAATAATTAAGCTACACTTAAAGTTTGGTTTTCAATCAACGCATAGTTCCCAGAAATCTGATCAAGAGCAAATAACAGCTAAAAGACAAGTGACTGACACATTCATCTGTTGAATACAAAAACACATTCCTTTTCATTTCCCCAAACACAAATGCTTCATGTGCAAACAGCCTCCTATATGCAGCATAGCAAATATATTCTGACTCAAAATATTGCAAAATGAACCAAAATCTCTCTAGAAACAAGTTTAATGATAAGGCAGCAATTAGCACTCATGGAGAGAGAGAGAGACACACACACACACACACACACACACACACACACACACACACACACACACACCATCTATTAACATCAATTCTGATTAAAACTGCCTAACATTTGCCTTACTACCCCAGGTTATTCTTATGTTACGTATTGCAAAGTCTCCTGACATTTATAGGTTTATTTACAGCTCAGTCTCATATACTGTATATAAAAGATCAATATACAAGATTTCACAAGACTGCGGTTCTCTGAAAAACTATGTACATTTAGAGGAACTGAGAGGGCAAATAGCAGACAGGTGCAACACTTGATCATTAGCAAGTGTGAGCACCTCTATAAAAGCAGAAGTGTTTGCTGGTCTGGCGCATTCAGGTGTGTGTTAACACAATGCCACATTCTTCCCAGGAGAGGATGTCCCAGCAAATTCACCCCAATATCAGACTGTGCAATGCTCAGAGAAATTGTAAAACAAAGAAATCCCAAGAGCTACACCTCAGACCCTACAGGCCTCAGTTAGCATGTTAAATGTTAAAGTTCATGTCAGTGCAATTAGAAAAGGACTGAACAACTATGGCTTGTTTAGAAGGGTTGCCAGCACAAAGCCTTTTCGCTCTAAAAAGAACATGGCAGCATGGCTCAGGTTTGCAAAATTACATCTAAACAAACCACAAGACTTCTGCAACAATGTCCATTAGACAGATGAGACCAAAAGTGGAGATGTCTAGCATAACGCATGGCAACATGTTTGGAAAAGCCCCCCCCCAAATAAAAAACAAGCACCTCATACCAGGTGATACGTATGACAGTGGATAGGAGGTGAGCTTAGCTTATTTTGCAGCTACAGGATCTCAGTCATTTAGTCTACCATGACCTCTTTTAAATACCATATTTTTCTAGAGTGCATCTGTCGGACAGCTTAAGCTTCAATCCATACTGGACCATGTCAGAACAGTGACCCCTAACACAGCAGAAAAAGAAAAGAATCAAGGTGTTGCTTTGGCCCAGTCTAGTCTAGACTGACCAGGCTGCCTGAAATGCTGTGGAGGGACCTTAAGAGAGCTATGTATCAACAAATGACCATAAACCCCAAAGAAACAGAAGCAATGTGAGCGAGAAGAGTGTCGTATAGAGGTTTTCACAGGATTCGGTGCAGCCCTACTAATAAACTTCATGGATGCCAAGAAAACTACACAGTTGAAACTGTTGCAAACCTCTACTGTGCACATATGTTGGTGCAAAAACACAAACTGCTCACTACAGTTTTTAATATTATTTGAATGCAACGTCTCTCCATCTTTCAACGGTTTGGCACACACATAATCCAAATAAAAAGCATATGTCCACAACAGTATGCAGTATATAAACCTACAGACATAACACAACAAAATCAACTCTTAATTATCTGGATAAGGAAGAAATTAATTGTCTCACCTCGTTGGTAACAACATCTGGATGTGGAGGAGAATCGAGTGCACTGATGGTTTGCAGGATGTCGTGAGTCAGGTTGGTCAAATAGACAAGTGGATTGGCCACCACTGTCTTTACATTGGTTGTACAAGCCATCAAAAGAGGGATGGAGGTGGGCTGTGAGGTCACCGTCACCACAGATTGGATGAAGTCATCCTGGGTACAAATGTCATAGATGAGTGTCAAATCATTATGGTACATCTGTAGATGTCTATCATAGTAAATACAAACCCCCACACCTATGCACAAGGACACAAACTAAGGTTACACAACAGTAAACTTAGCAAACTAAGAAAATGTAGATGGATTCTACTTTCTTATTTCTTTCTTTAGAATGAAGAAAGAAAGACACCTCGCTAAAAGAACAAGGAACAGAGGGGAGCTGCTTTGAACCTTTGACAGCACAGCCTTTTCTGTAGCTATAATGACAAGATGAGCCAATTCGTGTAAATGTCATACATGATTTCTACATACATTTTGTGTGAATGACAGTTAATGAGCAAAAAAAGAAAGCTTTGGCACTGGAGGGATGTCTGGTTCTTTATGTATCTACCAAATTCCTGAATATGACTCTGTGTGTAAGAATACCACAGACTTATGTTCGTCACTCTTGATGAATCACATTCAGCTGTCACCATCTTAACAGAAGCTCTGCACCCTGACTGAAGTCAAGGCAAAAGCAAAAATGCAAAAATTTCCTTGACACCAAAGTTTAAATTTGACAACCATGGGAGCAGAGCTTGTACAAAATAATCCAATTTTATCTCAAATCATCACTTGTGCTAACATTTAATAGCACGGTTCCCATGTTGGCTCATTGAATTGTTTACCTCCTAAAATTTTACTCTCTAATCGCCAGCCTGAGGCACGACCCTCCCTTAGGAGCTCCAGGAATCAGTACAGCCTGTCAGCCTATTGCTGGCAGTGTGCAGACAGTTGCCTGGGCACAACAACGAGGTGTGTGCATGCGCGTGGTGGTGTGTGCTAACACAAGCTATTCAGATGGCTTCATGTTCCGTCTATCATGTGTACTCTTTGACTCATCTGCCCAGTATCATTCCCTTCAAAGAGAATATGCTTCAGTTAAATTAAGTGGAAACTCTGGGCGGATTATACTGCCCAGAATACTTCACTGTCTGTAGTGAAAAAGACCTGCTTTAAATATGACGCAGTATTCAAGTATTGTAAGACAACAGAGTGGCCATAAAGAGAGCACAGTCATAATTAATTATTCTTGACTTGTTGCTTAAGACTCAATTAATAAGACTATAAATTACTGCAAGAAGCCCCTTTGAAAAACCAAACCAAAACTACAAACTAAGAAACATGGCAGTGTTAGAAAACTTTAAAGCTATCACTTTTGTCACTTTTAAATCCATGAAGACCAACACTAGTAATCAATGAGCAAAAAACTGTTTCATGTTTAATTCTAAACATGCTGATAAACGCAAAATCAAAGAGAAAAGCATGAGAAAATCTTCCTCTGAATCACCTGAATTATAATTATGTTGTAATCAACTAAACATTTCATATCAAATCCCCCCCCCAAAAAAAACAATATTACTATTGTTCATTCATTCACTGACAAAACAGCTCCAACTGAAAGAAAAGTTGCCATTTTAATTACCTGGTGAGATTCTTGAAGCAGCAGTATGAGCTCCATGCGTACAGAGGCCAGACCTCCTCCGTGTGAGCCGTGCAAGCTGCAGTAACTCAGAAACATCCTCAGTAAGGGCTGGTTACTCTGCAGCCAGTGTCTCCTGCTCCTGTGGCTGTCACCACGGGGGCTCCCAGGCTGGCAAAAACATTCAGACTTCATTAGTTTTATAGACAGTCATTCAGCCTTTCTGTAAATCAACCCACCTGGGTAGGGCACAAACAAAAAGCAGCATGCTTTGAAATGGTATATATTAACGTGGTCTATCAACAATAGAGAAAAAAAAAGAAAAAAAAAAAGGGTTTTCTAAAGTAATTTGTAAACACACAGTAGGTGCATTGTGCAAGGGTAAGTATATATAATTGGGTATGCATGTCTGACAAACAGAGATAATATTCCTTCAAAGTACGTCATTAGATATCGTTGCTGTTTTAATTTTAATATAGCAAGCAGCCAGCTATCAACACCCACCTGCTCCTCCTCCACTAACCCAGAAACAGGGACATCACCCTGGACTGACAGTTCTGGCAGGCAACGCTTATAGCTGCAGCAATGCTGGAGAGCCCCCACCTGAGGGGAAAAGAAACAAAAACAAAACAGAATCCGATCTTAAAAATCAATTAATCAACAAGGCGCTCCTCATCCATGAAATGTAACATTTATATGCACACAGACAAGATGCTCAATAATCATAAAGGCAAGAAGGAGATGTGTGGGCATTATGTAAAATACAAAAGTTTTATTGCGTGGCTTCAAGTCTGCAGAAAGACTTGTTATATAACACAAATGAATGAATAAATACATAAAAAAAAAAAAAAAATGAAAAATGAAATTTGACCTCAAAGTTTGCAAAGCTGTTTAAATATGTGTATGTCAGTACCTCTCTTTCTAACCACAGGCAGAGCTGGTAACGTAGCTTTCCTCCATCCAGTTCGTACCCTGTTGACAGTGTCCGGAGCTCATTGGTCATAATCTTCAAGCACGCTGCAAATTTCAGTTGAGTCACCAGGATATCATCAGACGGTTCAATGTAATCATTGCTGTCCTCGCTCTCCTCAACCAGAGATACTGGTTCGTGGAACACACTACCACTCTTGCCATTTTTAGTTTCTTCTTCATCCTCATCATTTTCTTCATCATCTTTGTCGCTATCCCATTTCAGCTCTAGGGGCTCATCTGGAACTACCACTGACGGCTGGCTCCAATCGAAACTTAACACTGAATCCGACCGGCTGTTTGATAAGCTGTTGCCATCTGACTCGTAGCCATTCAGAGCTGACTGAGACCAATCTGGGTCCGATGCTTGTCCGTTCCTACTCCCAACACTGAGCTCAGCAGTGTTGCCTGTATCATCCTGGGGTCTAGAATGCTTGCGGACTTTGGGCATCTTGGAGAGGACTTCGAGTGCAAGCATAGGGCACCCTGCATGCAAATGTGCATATGCAGCTGTGAAAAACAGTCTTCTCTCATCCAGGCTGATGGAGTCAGCGCTGCGAACCTCAGCAGTCAGACCAACTTTTGCCTTGTTTGATGAGCCAAAATGCCGGCGAAGGAGGAGTGGGTGAGTACGCAGGTAGGTGTAAAAGTTGAAAACCTCAGGGTTACAAGCCGACACAGAAGAGGTACCTGCCACAGACAGAAAGTTAAACAAAACGGTTTCATCTATTTCTTTGGCGAGTCCTAGCAACAATACCTGCAAAGACAAGCTGTGATATTAGAGGAAAACAAAATACAACTATACCTGACCTAACTGAATCACTGCCAAAGCTTCAGACAACTTCAGGTATGCACTTATGAGAGAACTAATGACTGACAAAACTACCTTATCCTGTCACTCGAATGCAAATACAAGATGGCACCAGTGTTCACGGCAAGGATTTCTGATCACTTCCCAGTTTTATTTAATACTGTAGCGATGTGAATTTGAACAGTGATGGTCCTGTGTGGCAAACGCGCACTATTAACTCCCAGTCAATCGCTCACGTCACGGATGCTTTCCTTGACTCTCCCCTCTCTGATGCTAACTGTAATGGGGTTTTATCAGCGGATGAGCTTGCTAACCTCTTTTATACTACATGCGCTGACATACTTAACTCTGTGGCACCTCTGAGGATTAAACGTGCCAAATCCTCACAACCCTGGCTAAATGATACTACTCGCGCCCTTAGGCGTGAATGTCGTCGTGCTGAAAGAAAATGGAGGAAAGACAAACTCCATGTCTCTCTGGACATCCTCCATAATTGTTTATCTAAGTATCAAAAGTCTGTTGAAGCTGCCAAACCTGCCTTTTTGTCTAGCATTATTATGACTAATAGCCACAACCCCCGAGCCTTTTTTAATACTTTTAACTCTGTGATAAACCCTCGCACTACCACTTATAGGGATGCCTCCCCTGCTCTTTGTGATACATTCTTAAAGTATTTCTCTGAAAAAATCTCAGCTCTAAGGGCTTCTCATCCATCTCATTCATCATCAGTTTTAGACCCAGTTCCAGCCTCTGAATGCTTGACTGTCTTTCAACAGTTTGAGCCAGTGTCTTATTCTGCTTTAAAAGATATAATTGATCATCTCAAAATCTCTGGTTCCCCGCATGATATTCTTCCTTCTCGTTTCTTTAAGGAAGCTTTACATGTTATTGGTCCTTGTATCTTATCTCTGCTGAATGCATCATTGTCATCAGGTTGTGTACCGTCTGTCTTTAAGCTGTTGTGCAACCTATTATGAAAAAGAAAAATCTTGACCCTAATGGTCTCACTAACTACAGGCCGATCTCCAAACTCCGTTTTATTTCCAAAATATTGGAAAAGGTAGTTCTAAAACAACTTCAGACCTTTTTAGATGCAAATGGTAATTAATGAAAAGTTTCAGTCTGGTTTTAAACCTCGCCACAGCACAGAGACAGCCTTACTTAGAGTTTTTAATGATCTTCTTTTAACCGTTGACTCTGGCTATTCCGTGGTTTTAGTTTTACTAGACTTGACTGCTGCTTTTGACACTGTTAACCACAACATTCTTCTATCAAGATTGGAACATGTTGTTGGTCTCAAAGGTACGGTTTTATCTTGGTTTAAATCCTACCTCTCAGAGAGGTCGTTCTCTGTTGCTATGGGGCAACACTCCTCGGCTTCTGCCCCTATTTATTGTGGTGTGCCTCAAGGGTCCGTGCTCGGTCCTGCTCTTTTCTCTTTGTGCATGTTGCCCTTGGGATTAATTTTTAGAAAATACAACATCTCCTTTCACTGTTATGCTGATGATATCCAGATTTATTCACCTTTGAAATCCGATGGGTCTGCTTCTTTGCAACCTCTGTTCAACTGTTTGCATCAAGTTAAAATGTGGCTATCGCATAATTTTCTTACATTGAACGAGAATAAGACCGAAATCATAAGTCTTTGGTAGTCACACTCTGCTAGACCAGTTAGCTGATTCCCTAGGCCCTCTCGCTAGCCATCTCTCGCTCACTGTAAGAAACCTTGGAGTGTTTCTGGATGGCTCTTTTAAACTTGAGAAACAGGTCTCCACTGTGGTAAAAAACAGCTTTTCCCAATTGCGTCAGATATCTAAAGCAAAGCCATTCCTTCCTTTAAAGGACCTTGAAAAGCTTGCCCACGCATTTATCATATCCAGATTGGACTACTGTAACTCCCTTTACTTGAGCCTCCAACACTCTTCTCTTTACCAGCTTCAGTTAATTCAAAATGCAGCTGTGTGTCTTTTAACAGGTACGAGAATCTATGAACGCATAACTCCAATTTTAGCCAAATTACATTGGCTCCCTTTTAAATATCGCATAGATTTTAAAATTCTTTTGTTCACTTTTAAAATTCTGAATAATTTAGCGCCCAGCTATCTTTCTGAACTACTCGACTTATACAATCCCAGCAGAGCACTTAGATCGTCCAATCACATGCTCCTAGCACAACCTAGGTCTCGACTGAAGTCGAGAGGTGACCGGGCCTTTGCCACCGTGGCACCTAAACTCTGTAATAACCTCCCTGTTCATAATCGTACTGCTGCCGAGTCTATCCAGTCTTTTAAATCACGTCTTAAAACTTTTTACTTTGGCTTTTGATTCTAACTAGTTGGCTGTTCTAGCTTGTTGTGTTGTTGCCTATTGTTTGTTGTCCTGTTTTATTGTTTGTTTTAATTGTCTCGTGCTTTTACTGATTGTGAAGCACTATGGTCAACATTGTTGTTTTAATATGTGCTATATAAATACATTTTGATTTGATGTAGATGGAAGCTCAAAAACTGACAGTTAAATTAGAGGTGAAGCATCATGTTCACTCATTTTCATTGAGGTATAAAAATGTCTGAGTACCTGGCAGCAGAAATGTCTACAGAGTTAAAGAACCGTTTTGCAGTTTTTATAAGCTGTGTTACCTTTGCTAGAACCATACTAAGCATGCTCTGAGAAGCATCATTTACCAACCACATGTCACAGCATTTTAATGTGGGACTGGTTGGGCCCTTAAGTCAAAGTGAGGTTCACTTTAAGTTCATTTCTTCATCCATTCATAATTCATGCTGGTTATAATTTCTTTTAATAAATTGAGCTCTGTGGTCAGAAGGTTCCTTGTGCAATTTCAGCTCACTTAACGAACCAAAAATAGTTGCAAGGTTGTGAATGAGGACTTAACCTTAGTGTGTATTACAATCTGCAGCACTTTCAGTCTACCTCGTGTTATTATCTGACAATCTATATTGGACAGCCCTTTGATATTCTGACAACAAAGGCTATATCAAACAGAAATTTACAAAGGAATCTTTTGACAGGCAGATTCTGGCTGAATTACATTTTTCCATTCATAAATAAAATGGCCCTTGAAACAACTGTTCTCTTAATATTTTAAAGGAGTGGTAAGATAAAAACCAGAAAACTGGATTGCATTCCTATATTATACTTACATTTATCTGAGAAACTCCATTTAGAAAAGCTAAAGTTCACTGTAGACAGCTATTAAAACAAATGTGGTCAGAAATGATGGTATGTGTATGAACCTAAATTTTCACTATGCTCTATTTTCTTGATTCTTCTCATACTTATGTACAATTTGTGTTTCTTAATTAGCTTAAAAAAAAGAAAAGATTGTAGTAATGTGAATCAGACAGTGAAACCAAGTGTAACAGATCTATTGTTACAAATATATATTTTTATGGAATTTTTCTAGTTAAAGAACATAAATAGCACAGCAGACCTACCAGTGTCATATCGGTTCTCAGCAGACCCAGATCTGGCAATGTTAGCTTTTCGTTCAAGTAGAGTATCCAAGGCTTTGCTGTAGTCCTCCAGGACCCAGTAAGCCATGCTCCGCAGAAATGGGTCCTGGTGTGCCGGAATCTGAAATTCATGAACTAATTACAACGGCTCATCTTGCGTTTTTTCATGTTATGGATTCAAACATTTGATATTTTGCTCAAATTATACACTTAAAACTGAAAAAACAACTTTTGGTGTCTGCACACCTGTTTGTCTTGTCCTAAAACATGTCTCTGGAGGATCTTTTTGTAGGTGGATGCCGTCTCAAACTCAAACTCATACAACCTTGAGATCACCAACGCTAGCTGGAGGTCCTGCATTTTCTCTATACACACCTAGAGGACGACAAAGAAGCCAGGTATTTTTTAGCAGTGGATTCTGTTACTGGCAAGACTGAGTGAGGTAGAGCAGATAAATAATACATATGACTTGGTATGTGTTGATCATCTGAAACTGTTGTTTACCTGTCAAAATGGAAAGGAAAGGGCCAAAAATGCAAACAACAAAAGCCTGTGCTCACAGCAAAAACTGAGTGACTAGTTCAAGTTGTTGTGGTTGCTCCCAACTGGGAAGGTGTGAGGTGCATATCAATGAGACTACCTCCCAGTCAGACAGACTTGAGCAAAGTCAATGATAGCCCTTTGCCTGAGTGGTGCTTATTTCCATAAAATGCTTAAAGGGCTTTCAGTTACTCATGCAGATGAAATAATGTGACCCACTGCTTCAGGGACTCACTAAACAGAAATAACCTTGACAAATTAAAGGTTAAACAATCGACATGACCAGGAGCAGCTTTCTGGACATTTCTGTGGCTCGCACTGATTGACGCCAAGCTTTCAAACCACTATTCACAACAAACACATGTTTTCACATTAACTAACCAGCACTCTCCAAATATAATGTAAGAGGCATTAAGTAGAGTCTAAAAAGGGGGTCAGAGATGCTGGTTTATGAATGAGATAACATGCAACTGATAATTCACCCAAAAAGAAGTAGCGACAGCAACACCCAAGAGTCAATTGCCAACATCAAAAATGCTTCAGAGAATTGTGCTAAAAGCTTTTGACAAAGACACCACAGTGGAAATGTATTGAGGTGTTTTAATAATACAAAGAACACCACAGAAATACTGCTGGTGTGCTCTGTTTTTGAGCAATGTGGTTTCTCTGCTTTTGAATAGATCATTAAACATTGCCCTTGACTATGAACTGTTGAGGAAAAAAAAAACAACACAAAAAAACCCCAACGCTTACTAAGTTACAGGCAGTTTGCAAATGAAAAGGAGGAGCACTTGACTTAACTCATACTGCAGTAAGGTTTCTAACTGAGGTTTAGCGAGCTGAGATGCGTCGGAGGTGTTGAAGGGAAAAAAGATGGTTCTTGGAAACACTGTTTTATGTCTGTTTTCCACTTGCCTCCACAGCATCCTTAAGGGAGCCGGCTAAAAGGAAGAAGGCTGCAGAATGCTGGAACCGCTGCTTTCCCAGCAGAGAAAAGGCATTTTTCAATGCTGCTTTTCTCCACCGGTCTTCGCTGAAGTTGTTGTGGAAAAACTCTGTCATTTTAGCATTCTTCTGAGACCTGGGGAGAATGAGATTAGGGATTGAAAGCAGAAATATTAAATTCACTGGTCTTCAGCGTTCTAACATAGCTAGCCTTGGTTAAATCTAGTAACAAATGTGATAACTGTATGTGTATTTCATATGCAAAAATCACGCCAGTTTCATTTACCTGTACAGTCCCCAAACCACTGCCTTCTTTTTCAGTGCAAGGTAAAATATAGCTGCATCCAGAGGATCATTATTTCTCTGAAAAGAAGCCTTGGCAACCTGACAAAATAGAAGGAAAAGTACATTCAGTCTCTCCCACCGCACACCACACAGCATTATCCACAGAACAAGTTGCAAATTTATGGGTCATTTTAGGGAGTAACTCAGTATGCTGCAGTTTAGAGCAGCCTCAGCACAACTGTACTCCCATATACCTGCGAGTATTTCACTTATAAACTGAACACCCATGAGGAAGCAAACAGGCCTAACATACTATTTGACATCCTTCAGAGCTGTTAAGTGTGCACGCTTAAATTATACGGATGCTTTTTTTTTGAAGAAAAGAAAGAAAGAAAAGGCAATCTAGATAAAAAAAATTAATTGAATCAATTTATTGGTTAATGTTCACTCCGCAAAATACAATCGAAAACCGATGTTACATCGTTCACTGTACGTTGTTCTTTTTTTCATGGGAATAGCCATTAAGATATTACCAAAAAATAGTTTCCCATTTTGTGTTTATGATCTTCAAACTAGTTTCTAATATGTATTACCATGTAGATCCCATAAATTACCAGACCATGAACTATTTGATCATTAAATCTTTAGTAAGATATTTTAAAAAAGCAAACTCTTTAATACGCAGATTTATAACCAACTATAGTCTGAAAATTTCTACTTCAAATAAGTCAATTTACAAAAGTGGCACTGGCTCAGGGATTAGCATTTGGGATCTGACAGCTAACTTGTTCGCCTCACCTTTTCAATGCATCTGCGTAACTTGTTAGTGCTGCGAAGCCACCAGCCAACACCCATTGAGCGCAGCTCAGGCCAGGTTGGCTCTCCCTTTTGCATTGCAGGTAGCATGTTCAGGAGTTCTTCCTCAGCTTCAGAGTGGAAACCCCAGGCATAGTGACATGTTGACAAGCCTGCAAAGAGAGGAAAAGGAAATTATAAATCTCTATTTTTACAAGGGGCGATGACATTACTGTGACAGAACGCAGTAAAAAACAAAAATGTCAATAATAACTTTTCTGCCCATTCAGGAATTACAGTGATAACAGGGCTATAAAACTACAAGCAGCAAAGCAGAAGTTCACAAAAGACTCAAAATCAAGACCTCGCATCATTTTTGAAGGACATTTGACATAAAAAAGTTTGAAACAACACCACTGTACCTTGCCGCAGTAGTTGTGCTCTGTGGGCTGGAGGCAGCGAAGTAGAGAGGAAAGTGTGAAGTCTGACAGCTAGCAAGAACTTCAGACCGCACTCATCCAATGTCTCTCCCCCTGGAGGTAAAAAGAATGATAACAGAGCTTATTTACTAAATTTTTACCCATCTGAAAAGTCTGTATTTATGTTATCATTTCCTTGCAGTACCTTTGCTCTTGCCCTGGCTGTCATTGAGGTCTATGCTTGTAGAAGCAATGGTGTCAGCCAGTGCCATGAGAGACATCTGCTCCATACGAGTTAATCCTGGCAAACTGGAGTGGAGGAGATGGCTGGACAGAACCTGGGCGTGTTCTGGACCGAAGTATGTAGGACTGTACTGGGACAGGTCTATAACCTGGAGACAGAAAAGGTGCCAACCTGTTAAATTCACTGTTTGATATTTCCAATTTACAAAAGACAATACAGAATCGGTCAATAATGTTACAAAGCAGAATACAGCATCACTGGATTCAATTTCACAACATAAGCATGATATTCTGTGTAAACTGACTATATAAGCTTTTTCAAATGCAGTAACCTTTTTTTCAAAAATCTAGAGATTAGTTAATAATGTAGATTTTTAATGCATTAATAAGGCCCATCATGAAGATTCGACTGACCTGCTTTTTCAGACAGGAGTAAATTTAAAATAAACCTTGAGATGCATGTCTTGGCTACCAAGAACAGACGGCCTGTTAGGAGCACTGGGACATTTCCTGCCGTAAAAAGGAGCTTTAGCCAGATGTGACACAGCAGGCAGGAATGAGCTGATGGACCTTTCAGAAAGAGTCTTATTCTCACTGCAGTGTCCCTGGTGCAAGGATGTGTGCACCCAAGATGCATATAAATGGGCCAGCATAAACAAGTTAAAAATGTGTTATTTTTATATCGTACTAAAGCAAATTTCTAGAATTAATATGAATACTGCTTGCCAAAAAACAAGTGCTTTCAGGACTGGGTGATAATATGTCGATTATTGATCTTGCAGCAGTAAATCCTTCAGCATAAAACATCTGAGTCTGCATGTCTAAATGAACCCAGTGTCACAAAGTTTTCACAACAGCACAGAAAATCAGTTTTCTTAGAAAATTAACAGTCATGTCATTTGCATGCACTGAATGGTAGGGAGAGAGTCCCAGTTTGGATTAATGCTTTCTGTAATCTATACAATGGAATACCGAAAGAGCTCACCTTATTTCCTGTTTTCTCTTGATCACTGTCCAGGGGGTCCAGATCCATCACGTTGGGTGTGTGAAAGAGCTCATCATAAGCATCGGTGTGGCTGGAACCATGCCCACTATCTCCACTCACACTGCCCACTTTATCTGTAAGGAAGTGTAGGACAGAGTTAAATAACATGAGACAAGTATTTCACAAGAGGCCTGAAGAAAAGTATCCTCCTGCTGGGAAGATGGCAGATTAAAATATCAGAGAGCTTTAAAAAAAAAAAAAAAAAAAACAACAACCCAAAACTGAATACATGCATTTGCTTTCATTCTTTTCACCATGTATCCCCAGACAGATAATGAGGGAAAATCTGAAAGAAGTGTAGTTGTTATTCTCAGTTTCTTCACCTTAAGGCGAGGTGGTTAATAATAGTAACTGGTTTTACAATATAAATACCATTTCTTTGTTCTTGTTTGTGTACCTGCTTTAATGCATATCTGCAGAACATTTTTGATTTCTGACAAATATGCAGGCATACTCTCAAAAAGTCATAAACATTCATTTTCAATTCAGCACTATCAAACTGTCACCACTGGTCTAGCTTTATGTTCAGGGCTGTTATTGCCTCCAGAGGAATAAGCCCTATTCACATGGGATTGGTGTTAACAAGGGACTTTATGTATGACCTTTAAAAATACCCCCCAACATCTACGTTTTATGCTGCATATTCACGTGGCATGAAAAGTCTGTGTTTCACTCAGATTTACTGACGTCTCTCGATACCACCTGGGGACCTAATATTAATATTAATTAATGCTGTCAAAATTAACACGTTATTAAAGCTGTCATCATGATTAATGCGATAAAAAAAAATTTAACGCTATTAATGCATCTGGAGTGCAGAATGACTCAAAATCCCTGAAATATTTCTGTCCACGCATTTCGGGCAGTTTGTCCAAGTAGTTACCTTCACACATGCGCAAATGGGCAGTTGATCTGGAAGTAACGGCCAGCTGAACCAATCACATTGTGCAAGAAGGAATTTTCTTTTCACCGAAGCACTTGCAGCTTAAAATATGACATTGACGCGAAGCATATGTTAGTCAGGGATGCTGCTAGGACTTTGCCTAACACGTCATCCAGCTTCCGACAAACCACTCACGGAGCATCGGGGACTCAGTAAGTCTACCTCACGGTACCGTTCCGTGAGTCGTTTGGTACCGGGCCGCGAGAGTTGAGGCTCGGGTGTGAAATGTATGGTTTTCAGGGTTTTTAGCGTTATTTTTTTATCGTTATCTCGGTTTTCCTGGGTCTTTTCACGTGTGTTGTGGATAAAACTTCTTTTTTTCCCGCACCGGTACTAGTTTTATTTTGTTGTATTTATCCGCGACACCTTAAAGGCCGGTCCGTGAAAATATTGTCGGGCATAAACCAGTCCGTGGCGCAAAAAAGGGTTGGGGACCGCTGCTTTACATAGCTTTGGTTCCTCGTTTCAAGGACTTTAAGTGCCTCCCCAAGCGTGACAGAGAGAGAGTGTTTACAGAGTTTTTTGTTAACATGAATGTTCAAGATGTTCAATAAACATGTTAAATGCATATATTTTCCCTTTTTTTTCTGAGTCTGTTTGCTCATGCAAAATGAAATGTGATTAACGTAGATTAAAAAATGATATTTAATTGTGATTACTCAAAATTAATCCACAGTAACCCTGTGATGAGTCAGATTAAAAATTGTAATTGTTTGAAAGAACTAACATATATATATATTATATATTAGTGTATACTTACCTATTAGTATGTAGGTTTTTAAAAAGTTTTAAAAAGAACCTGTGCTAAAACTATTCAAATTCTCTTTGAATTTAAGCACACATTCTTTGTGTTTATTCTCCATTTACTTCATTATATTGCATAAATGTCTGTTACAAGCTTAAATATAAAGTTGAAAAAGCCAGCTAGCCAGGCGATCAAGGAATTGCAATTAATCGCAATTAATTAGAGAAAATTGTGAGATTAATTAGTTAATTTTTTTAATCTATTGACAGCACTAATATTAATATTAATAAGCTGCCACATAACTGCCGAGCATGTTAAAAAAAAAGGCAACAAGTTCTTTACAAAATGCTGCCAAGCAAGTCATGCTTCTGACTTTTGTTATTCTGATGGATTCAAGCTCGCCTTTTACCTTTCATTTATTTTCATTCAACTGCCAACAGAGCATCCATAATGCTGTTTATAGAAAATATCAAAGAAATCAGTGACATCCTGATTATTAGTGGACTTATACTATCACAGAACATCTGTGTTTGATGAAGTATGTTATGTTATTAGCTGTGGAACATTTACTTTGAATCAGGTCACAGTTGACTTCTGCAATCATTACATAGAGGTCCCAAGATAAACGGTAAATGGACTGGTTCTTTTATAGCACTTTGCTATTCTACTTGAGCACTCAACAAGCGTTATACAACAAGTCTCAAACAATAATATTAGACTTGTGTGAATAAGGCTTCAGTCTTAGTCGTGAAATGCTTTCACCTGCAGAGTGCCAGGTCAACAAAGGAAAACAAAAAGGCAAAAATAGCAGCAAAAAGTAGAAAAACAAAAAAGCCTAGGCTTATGCTTTTGTACCCATGGTGCAGAGTGTTCTTGTTCACCAAGTTTTCTTGTTCTTCTGCTTTCAGTTGCTCCCGGTCCCTTGCATCGTCTTCTATCACACAGCCTTCTACATCTCGTCCTTCATTACATCCATAAGCTTCTCTTTTCCTGCTGCCTGGCAGCTCCATATTTAACATCCATTTGCCTAATATATCTACTATCCCTGCTCTGCACACATCCCAGCCATCTCAGGCTACGTCCACACGTACACGGGTATTTTTGAAAACGGAGATTTTCCATTTTCGTTTTAAAAAATAATCACGTCCACACGTAAAGGCAGAAATTAAGGAAAACACTGCTAGGAACATGTCAAAGCAGCAGGTGGCGCTATATTCCTAACCGTGTAGAAATGTTGGCCAATCAGAAGTCTAGAAGCCTCGGTGGGAAAAAGTAAACAAAGCTGGGGCATAGAAGCAGAACCTAGTCTATGTGTGGAGGGACAGTAACTGTGTGTATGTGTAAGCATTTAAACACTGCAGAGAGTACAATTAACAGTAACAGTATTGTAGAAATTCATTTCACCGAAACAATAACGTGGCGCACACTGTGACGTCAAAAAAGGCGCACATCTTTGACGCTGCGTTTTCTCCGTTTTTCTCGTCCACACGTAAATGCAAAAATCTGGTTTTAGGTGCCGAAAACGGTTTACATGTGGACGAAAGGTGCAAACGCATAGAAAAATCTGCGTTTTCAAAAAATACCCGGGTACGTGTGGACATAGCCTCAATCTTGCCTTTAACATATTTTTGCATGAAAGTTTCAGTAACTTCACTTCAACTTGTGAAATGAATTTAATACTTTATTTCTATGTTTTTGCAGGATTTGACTCCAAAACTAGACATTTTACCAGTATTTAATTCATTACTGGATTTATGTACAGTGGTCCCTCATTTATCGCGGGAGTTACGTTCTAAAAATAACCCGCGATAAGTGAAATCCGCGAAGTAGCCAGCTTCATTTTTTACAATTATTATAGATGTTTAAGGCTGTAAAACCCCTCACTACACACTTCATACACTTTTCTCAGACAGGCATGAACATTTTCACACTTTTCTCTCTTGTTTAAACACCCTCAACGTTCAAGCCTTTGTAGAAAACTAAGTCCAGTATTATAGAATGAAACCAAAGATCAAACCCTGTTTTCAGGCTACCGCACATGCCTTTGACAGTACAAAATGTTTTGTTGATATTGTTGTGTTTGTTGGGGAGAAAACGTACAAACAGTACAGCACTTCAGAGTCACACTGCTAGCGATCGAAGATTTATGTAAATGTGACTGTACAGGAGACACGGTACGGAGGAGACTGAATGACAATGGTCTACAGCCAATCAGGACGGAGAACACAACGCGCTGTTAAAAAAAAAAAGAAAAAAAAAAGCATGCAAAATTGCACAGAAAAAATCCGAGAAACAGCGAGGCCGCGAAAAGTGACCCACGTTATAGTGAGGGACCACTATTCTCAAATCACATGCTGTATATACCCACCAGGTTTTGGTGTGTCGTCATCAGCTCCTAGAAGGGCGTAAAGAGGCAGTGGAGGGATGGAGCTTATCTCTGTGTAGTCAGCGGACGAGTTCTCTGCTTTGCTGAACATCTTCTGATCCGTGGCTGTGCTGCCCCCAACACTGATGGTTCGAGACCGCACACGTTTTTCGGGACTGGTGGAACTGTCTTGAAGTGTTATGATTTCTCCAGCAATGCATTTCACGAGATGGGAGAGGATAGCTTTGGCACGGTGAACCTGAAGACAGATGAACAATATCAACATAATAAATCAGAATACATTTCAGATTTTGTTCAGCAACCACAACAAAAGCAGTTTTTGGAAATTTTCATGGCTTTTAATTGTATCGGTCCACCTTACTACTGCTTAAGCTATTGTGGAAATCAGACAACTATTATTAAAAGTTGTTTTTTTTAATAAAATATTAAACAGCCCATAAATAATGCTTCTTTGGTGCTTCAAACATATTGTAGCGATACCAAATAGCAGACGTTGGCATGTACTGTTTATACAGTTTACTCAGCACTTAGTTCTGTCAGGAAATGTCAAGAAACTACACTGGAAGCTCCATTAGCTGAAGCAAGACACAGGTAACTGGAAGCCAGCTACTTAATACTTCAATCCAATTTAGTCAAACACATCATCGACAAATGCATCCTGTGTACCCACGCAGGGGTTAAAGAGGGATCTGAAATGGCATTCAAGGTCCTTCAATTACTGAGTAATTAGATTTGACCGGAAGTTTAATACAAAATGAGCTCAGGGTTCATATCCTGCAGTTCACTGGTCCTTTTAGCTGATGCCACACAGAGCCATTGATTAAGTAACTTACTCAATGGCTCTGATGTAATAGAGATATTGGATGAGAAATTTGATCTGTACACAACAAGTTATCTGGATATTCCACACACTAAAATCTTTTTGAGTTTTTACAAATGAAAAGACAAAAAAACAATTAAAAACAATTTAAGGTTTACACTGGACAGTGAGTGGGTAGTTTACTCTGTTGTGGTTTAGTTTATAGTGACTGACTATGTTGAACTGGTGCAGCGTGGACTGTGTAATCCTTTAGGTCCCAGGTAGCAACAGAGACAGTGAGAAAGATACGCTAATCAATTCTCAACTGAAATTAATGACATAATTTTATAAGAGCAGAGTTAATGGTAGAAGTACAACGAACCTATAGCATCAACTAAAGTAAATTTGGCAAGATTATATTGTCCTAATGTTATTTTATTTAAAAAAAATAAAATCAATCTAACTTCAAACACAAAGATGGACTAAAGAACATATACAAGTTTACTACATTATTTTTAGTTGGAAAACAGTGTCATGGGAGGGGGGAAAAAAGAGGAAGGAATAAATAAATACTAATATGAATGGGGGGGAGAAAAAAAAAAAAGAGTATCAAGAGTAAAGAGGATAGAGAGAGAAATAGACAGAATGTAATCTTGAAGACCGAAAGAAAACAGGAAATGAGAGACGGGGAGCAGGATATTGAAAGCAGAGACACACAGAAAAGGAAGCTGGAAGAAAGAACACAGGGGACAAAGGAAAAAAGACAGAGCACACAAGCAAAAACATCTGACAATACACAAATAGATCAGACACATACACACGCAGGTCCAAGTATTTAGACAATGACATTTTTTTGTAGTTTCTTGCCACCACCGTGGATTTCAAATCAAAGAATCAAGATGTGACTGAAGAGCAGACTTTCAGCTCGAATTCAAGTATTACAATATACAAAAGTAATACATTAACTGTTCAGGAATTAGAGCCATTTTTACACACAATACCTCCCATTTTAGAAGCTCAAAAGTAATTGGAGATTAGACTTACACTTAAAAAAAAAAAGCCTATTACTGCTAAAGACTGAGTACAAAAAGTAATTGAGTAATTTATTTAACTTACCTTCCCTAGGTCCATAAGCTCTAGCAACTGTACAGGGTGGTATTGGGGTAGAGTTGGAAAAAGTTGGTGAGCTGCTTCAAAAAGACCAGAATCTTCCATTTCTACAGGTAAGTCATAAGCGGTTTTCTTCCCACTGAGCTTCTGAGCCAGACTCGTCATTGATCGTGTCAGGGTCTTTTTGGGAAGAGAAAGTGAAGAGGTGGGGGCCCCAGGGCTGAGACCCTCCTCCTGGCACTGTCTGACAGCTGAGATTATGGAGGAAACACTGCTGCTGATGTCTTTGTCCTGGGCAACTGTGACAGTCGGTTTGGGTGGTGCTGGAGGCTGCCACTGAGAGTACACGTGCATTTCACACTCCATGCCAACTACCAAGATTCCATCTCGTACCCAGGACAGGGAGACTGGGATAGGTGGTGAGCCTTCGACAGAGGAGAACAGACTGACCGATCGAAGCAGAACCAGGCGAGACAAGCTTTGGTCTCTATTAGCATCAGAAGACACTCCCAGATCTGGAGGCTTTCCAGACAGACGACCATATATATATATCTTTGTCCCAATGCCAACAGTCAGAATGTGTGATCCATCCTCCTGGGAAACCCAGTCCAAGTGAACCAGACTCTTACCAGTAGAACCAAGACAGTTCTCGTTTTGTATGGATAAATCCATGTTACTTGGAATGCTGGCACTTGCAGTGGTACTACTACTTAAAGGATAGCTGGACATAGGGTCTGTATTGTCCAATACTATGGTCTGCTCCAGAATCCACTGCGAACCACCAGTGGACTCGCACTGAAAGATGCCAATGTGGACCAGCGGCTCTCGAGTGCTTGCATTAGGGCTGTGAATGGGTTTTGGGCTATGCGGCACATTAAGGGTCGGGGTCAGGTGGGTGTTGGTGGTGCTATAGTTTACAAATGGGGAAGATGCAGAGGCTGGGGGAGAAGTCAGAGGTCCATGAGCATTCAGATGAGGAGATAGGTTCAGAGGTGTGCTAGGCATCTGCTTGTAGGCAACTGCAAACCGTCCAGCGTGACAGCAGCTGACCTCAATGGGCCGGCCTGGCACACTTACTGCACTGCTGCTGGGAAGTTTTTCCTCCACCAGGAGAGGCCATTCCTCCCACTGGTACACCAAGTTTTCCACAGTGGGGGGTTCTGTTGTCATGACATTACACCTCCAGAAGCGCACCTTACCATCAGAACAGGAAGTAGCAAGGAGATAAGGCACGTGGCCAGCTGGAAGAGAACATGACGCACTCAGGTGACCTGAGAAGAAAAGTAATGCACCATTAGCAAAGAAAGATTTGATCTATAATATCATTAGAGTTTAATTTCTGTGATTTATTCAATTTTGAAGACATTTGGCAGATATATTAAAAAAATACAATGTAAACGAAACAAAAGATTGCCTTTGTCTATTCTTATGTTTCATTCCAATAATGTTGGCAGCAGCTTTTTACTCAGGCCTCTTTCAGCCATACACGCTTTTCTTAATCTACAAGTCGGCTTCCTGTCTCACTGTGCACCCTGCTCATTTTTATCTTAACAGTGTTGCCACAATCTTATCAACTTGGACCTAAAAACCTTGACTTAAAAAACATTTATGCACCATGTTTAACACAGAACAAGCCTGAATGCATTCTTTCATATTAAGGTGCAAGTACACACTAAATTATAACTCAGTTCACAAAAATACACCACTGCCTTAGTAAACAACCTAAAGAAAAATAAAGAGAAAAATAAAATCCAATACACTTTTTGCACGAAGCACCCTCTTTTAGACTGTCTTAGGTTCTCACTGTATCCAAACTAATCTTATAGAAGCATTAAACCACTTCATTTGTGAAAAGAAAATAAGTGTACATGATAAATTGATTTAAGTGCAGGAGAAAGCAAAGTCACAATCAGGTATTTCGACACTCTAGCACCAACAATGGACCATAAACATCACACATTGGAAGAGACACAGTGGTTGGTGGTTTACACCGCCTCATCAAAATCATTAACAACTCAACTTCAAGGGGAATTCTTTACATGATGCAGACAGAGCCTGTGATACCACAGGTCAGATCAAACACTAATAATTATCAACTGAGTTCTGATGGCAATCCGAGTTTGTTGGTAGCTTTCAGCTGTTTTCTTTTTTAAGTGTTTTTCTGTGATTCTTACATTCCACTCATAACGTTTTTCATCAACTCATAATCACATGTCACAACAGAGGCAACGTCATTAATTACTTATAATAAATCATCCCCAATACAAGGACATTGATGGTGAAATAAAAGGAAACTACGATGTGCACTTTACTTCAGACGGGTAAGATGTCATTTATACGCAACGGTTTAATCATTTTTGATGGGTTTACTCAAGAGTGTGTATGGATGTTGTCCCATGACTACATATAGCATATAGACTACATATTAGCTTTCTCTAAATATCAAAATTGAACCATCCTGTTAGGAAAATGCTACACAAACTGTTATGTCTCGCTTACTGTACTGACAAGTCTCGCCAATAAAAAATGCCAAGTACTGCACCGATTGTGTGGTGGGTATGTCTGAATAATTTCATGTGATTTCATATTTCATAAGATTTAATGCCTAAAATGACTTTAGTGAGTAACTTCTTCCATCATTAGCTAGCCGATCAATTATTTAGAGTTTAGGTTCAAGCTGCAACATTGAACCTTAGCATGCATCAATATGCATAAGGAAACAAAGTGGTTTTGCTTTGCGTCCTTGGAATAAGAATGCCTGTCCTCATTGTCCCTCACCTGCCGAGGGAGTAACACTGATGGCTTCCACCTCTGCTGGAAGAGCCAGCTCTTGGCTGTACAGCCTGTGTGTTGTGAGGCTGAGACGACAGGCACTCTGCAGATTGGAAGTGCAGGATTTACTCTTCTGAGTTACTGGAGAACTGGGTGCGTCATAGACAAACTGAGAGCTGTTCAAGGGAGAAGTCGTGGTGAGATCCTTATGAGCTGCAGTCTCCTCTGTGGGGATACAAAAAGTGGGAATATATTTAGAACAGTTAGGCTTGGTCAAATCCATTCACCATTACTACACTTCATCAGAGTCATTATTTGAAAAATCTATAAAAACAAATCTTTCAACAGATGAATCACCATCTGGCTAAAGCACACTGTGATACTGGAGGTCTCTTTCAATCATTAGAGATACTTTTAGTAATTTTACAACTTTTACACAGCAGACTTGTAATAAAGATTGCAAGGGAGACAAATCTGGACTTGGAACTTAAAAAATGCAAGGCATCTACAGTGATAAAGTCATTACTTAGTTACTAATTATAATTTTGCAACGCTTCCAGCTCTTTTAACCCTTAAAAACTTCCCTTTATGGTCTGCAATCATTTATTTTGGCTAAGGTTAGACAGGATGGCAGAAAACTTCTCTTACATCACCCAACTTTTAGGGTGTATGAGTGTATAAGTACCCACCCATAGTGACTGGTCGAGCAGCAAGATGGAGATGCCACATGTGGAGCAGTGAGCGACCTGTTGGGCTTAATTCTACCACCACCAGAAAAAAGCGGGCTGAGAAGGCTGGTTTACTGGAGGCTGCAGGGGGGGAGAAACCCACACAGTGATTTTTATTTTAAATGAAAGATGCAAGCAGCTGCTATTAAATACAGGCATGAAAACTAGGAAAAATAGGTTTTACCCGTGCGAGGAGAATCGGGAGTTTCATGTATGCTCTCCGTTATCTCAGTGCCAAGAATCAGATGTTCCTCAAAAACATGCAGGAGCTGTGTCTCCTTCCCCTGCTGCAGAGAATAGCAGCAGATATTGTCAAACTACATCAGATGTAGACTCTGAACATCATTTTCTGTCTACACACTGACATAGACACAGGCTGTATTAATAGTACATGCACAAAGACACGCACACCCTAAGGAGACGAGGGAGGGTTTTTTTGCCTTTTATTATTGTGGTTGACCTTTCAGCGACTCAGGCCACTGCCGAATGCTTCATGCCACAAATGGTTTGCAAGTCAACAATGGGGTTTTTTTTTGGTTTGTTTTCAGGGGAAAACCTTCAAAGATTCTGACAATGTCTGTCTACTGTTAGATGAGACAATCAGAAAGTCCCCAAATAAAGGAGGTTGAACTTTGTTTAGTGTGAGAAAACAATTCGGTTCTCTTGGACTCCGTGTATACTTACAAAGTCAGTAATGGCATCCAGTTCTATAATACACCCTGGTTTTGCTGTGGACTGCTGACTGATGATGTTGAAAACCTCCCCAACATATTTCTGAAAGGTGACAAACACACACAAAAAATCATCTGCATACATTTATAAATTAGTATTACACAGTTTAAATATGCAAGCAAATTATTTTACCAATTTGAAAATCACTTAACATCTTGCAACTGACAGCTAACAGGTGGCATAGTAAACGCAATAAAAGAAATGCAAAAAAACCAAACAAACCCAAAAACATTTATATAACAATTTCTCCTCTTCTTGCTGCATACTACTTTTTTTCCCTGAGTTTTAAATGTTTCACTCCAATTAATGTTTCATGTTATATAATTTCGCCTACAGTCATTTTTCTCCAAGTCATCTCAGGCCAACACTAGTAATAACAAAATGGCAAAACAGTGACGTACATTATTTGACAGATTCTATAAATGGCTGAGTGTTGCTATTAATGTGCATGAAAATTGTCAGGCTTGATCACTTACTGATATTTCCGGATTGGAGAGCTCACTCAGAAGTTTCTTAGCCTCAATGACAGCCTGATAAAGCCTGAGTGATTGGCCATCACTTGCCACGAAGCAGGCACTGGGAGAGTTACAGTACAAACCTAAAAAGAAAAACAATTGAATGTTACCACTGTTATGCTTGTTTTTTCTAAATAAATATGTCAAGCGAACACTACTGAGATTTAACATTCACTCATGTTTAATTCAGAAAATCTGAAGTCATTTGGTAAAGTAAGTTGCTTTTGTACATTTATCTACAATGCACAGTGTCAAGTGGACTAATAACCACACATGGAGACTCGTCTCAGACCTACTCTTAGTTGGACATAGTTAACTATATAGAAAACAATAACAATAAACAGTCCTTCACATCAATCAACCCTCCCAAACAAAAAACAACCCCCCCCCAAAAAACCCCCAAAACAAACAAAAATATCTCATTACTGCCTTTTTGCTAAGGCAACACACAATAAAGTACTTAGCAATCTGACCAGTAATAATATTTTCTCACCTAAACAGCTGCTGGGAATGAGTGTGGGCAGCCAGGCTACATTAGCAAATGCTGATGCATGGAGAGAATTGATTCTAGCAAGCTCCGAGACCCCGCCTGACAACGACAGCGGGCCGACGGGGTCCACTCTCCATAAAATCAGCTCACTGTAGATCGCATTGGGATCCTGGGAAACCATACCCAGGGACACCCGCGTGGGTCGTGACCCACGAGATAGAGATGCAGAATGAGAAAAACCAGAGGAGGAGGCCTCTGGAGGAACCAATATGCTGTCTGCCTCTGGCGTCCTCAAGGCATTGTGGTGTGAGGTGGTGAGGAGAAGAGGGAGCAGCGAGTGACAGGCCAGGTCATTGAGGTGAAAGCGGTGACCACAGTACCGTGACTTGTGAGAGACACTGAGCACAGTCGAGAAAGCAGAGTCCTCTGCAAAGCTGACTGCCCACTGGTTTAAAGAGCCATCAGCATGTTTGGAGATCATAAGGACATTGGGGGTAAATATGCTTAATCGAAGACTACTGCTGGGTGCAGATTTTCCTTGACCTCCGTAGCTTATTAGAGCAGATTTGGCTTGAGGCAATGTGCTCCCAGGCGGTCGCTGTCTGCCATGTTGGATAGCTAGATCCACGTTCTTGTTGCAGGCATACATTACCACACTTTGGCTCAGGGAGATGGCGTCACCTGCGGGGAACGCTACAGGAATGCGGGATGCAAACGACACCTGAGACAGAAAGAGATGTCATAGCAATGTCATCAAAAGTGACTGTAATTTGCAGCTCAGATTTAAAGAGGAGGTCTAATTAAACTAATTAAAACAGCCAGGCCTAAAAAATGAATGCCAATGAAACCTGAGATTCGGTTTTGTGCCTGAATGACCAGATTCTCTGTCCTCATTATTTTTACTGCTCATAAAAATGCACTAGGGCATATCTGAATTTGATATGAAGTCACAGACAAGTACAATATATTTGTGTGAGTCGCCAGATGAGAAGACATTAGAACAAGTACACCATCACATCTGTGAAAATAAATCACAACCTTACTCTGATGATAAATTAATGATTTTCCCCACAAAGCACTTTCTGAAATTCTGAATATAAACAAATAACTAAATAGAAAACTGTTTAATCTAAAGGTTAAAGTTATATTTTGAGCAGAATTCAGAATTCAGTTACCTTTGATTGCTGCATGATTATGGTCAAATGATTAACAATTATTTTGATCAATATTGAGATCACTGTTATTTATTGATTATAGTGGAAAAAAGGTTTTAATTACAATTTTCATTAAACATAAACTTGTTTTTATGTTGTGCAGTATTTCCACTAATGTAAAATAGTTGCTTAAAAATAATACTGAACTTCCTCATTGACCTAAATTAAGTAAATCTCTAAGAAGAAAAATCAAGTCTTTCACCCCATCGATTGTACCTGCATGATTAATAAAACTTAGCAGCAAATGTTTTGCATATGGTGTAGGTTTTACCAGAAAAATAATTCCAGAATAGATAACAGCAGCATGCTGGTCAATTCTCCAAAGCCTTTGTTACTGTTCACTGTGTTTACTGGACACTTGTCTCTGCCCAAATAAACTGTGATTAGATGGATGATTTTAGTGCGTCTTTGGGAGCTAGATGGTTATGCAGATGTGGTGTACAGGCTTGCTTTTATAAATGTCTCAGATGAGGTTGAATGACTCATGCTGGCAACATCTGCATTGTTTTTCTTAGCCTTCATGCATTAATAATACTGCAGTTTTTGGCATGTTTTCAGGAGGCTGAATATAAGTTAGTAGTCTTGCCTTACAGACTAGTTAACTCTACAGCACTTTTTGCAGATGATTTCTTTATAGTTAATGTTACTTGTGCCAAATCAGAAGTACTTCCAAACAACAGATGACGACCCACTTTGAGGGACAAGTTCTTCACCTTCTGTTGTGCTAGACATTAAAATTTTGTAGTATCTGTATTTTTAACAAAGACTTTCTTATTCAGACCAATCAAGAACATTTCAAGCTTGCATGGGACAGACGCAGGCACAGTATCAGGTCCTGATCAAGGGGGTGCTTGACTTGTTTTTACTTTGTGTTCTTTTGGAAGAACATGCATTTTCAATAACAGTTATTTATGTTCATTTATTTATTATAGAGAAAAATCCATACTGAGATTAAATTAAGACCAATTGTGCAGCTAACTGTGCAGTTTCTCTGTGTATCAACCTCTGAAATAAGACTATAAAAGATAAAGAGGAAAGAAACTGGAGGAATACTCTCATGAAACAAACAGAATGAATGTACAACTGTTCTATATAAAGAATAATAGCAGCAAAGTACCTGAGCTTGTCTGAACATGCCTGGGTGGTATTCATCTAACCAGTCCACATGCCAGACCAACAAAGAGCCATCCATGGGATGAATACTGAACAGCATGTCGGCCCCTTTATTCCACTCCTCTAACAGCACATCCAACTGGTGCTCCACTGCTGCCAGAGGCAGCTCCACTGTTCCTGGTCCTTGGGGTTCACTTGGTCTGTTCTCCTCTTCTTCAAAGTCATCTTCATTTTCAGGCTCTGGAAAAGAATACAAATCATGGTAGCCAAACAATATGTTAAATTCTATTCTAAAGGTTAGACTTTAACTGTCACTGTTATTACAGCTTCACATGCACACACCCATTACTGACTCATCCAAATCATTTCTCTCTACCTTCATTGGAGCACTCGTTCTGTTGCTCTACACTAATTCGAAGCTGTTGCAGAAAGACTTCCATGGCTAAAGTAAAGTGAAGCTCTTTGTTGTTGAGCCAGTGGACAGAAAATGGGCCTCCTGGTTCCTCATCATCCACAGCGTTCAGAGAGGAGATGGAGGGCAACAGGGGAATGTCTGTGAAACATACAAGTTATAAGCTGTTAAACATTTAGAAAACTTAATGAATAAATAACAACAACAACAACAAAATATACATCAGACCGGGCTGCTGACATGCAGGACAAAAATATATCTGCTGGAGCAAATTAACTTTCATGAATGTAAGCATGGTTTAGTATCCTAAAACATAATCCAAGCATACAAATCCTGCAGGACTTCTCAGCCTGAAGGCTGAAAGAGTCTACATGATTTTATCCTAATTCAGGTCAAATTAAGTTACCCAACTAAAACGGAGAGGAAGAAAATGAAATGCTCACAGTTACTCTGAACAGCTCTCACTGAGCACAAGCTCACTGGAATGTTAAAGAAACAACCTCAGGCAATCTGCAAAATTAATGGTATTTTTGCCAAGAGGTTAAGACTTCTGACTTCGAGCTGAGTTAACCATCCATGTACTCTGTACAGTTCAGGAATAGCAAATGATGTGCTTTAGTTCATTCGTCTTTATCAAGAACTTTATGTCATGTTAAAGCTTTAGTTCTTCAATATGTTGTGAGATTTCTTTTGGTATTTAACAAAATACCAGTGATGGGGATCAACAGGATTCTTAAGTAGTTTCAGAGTGTGTTCAAATCAAACCTGTGGCTGGGTTGATGCTGGCAGCAATGTGAAAGTGGCAGAGAGCATTGGCATGGGGCATGTTATTGCTGCTCTTCTTGTGGTTACAGTGTCCACTTTGAAGGTGAGGCAGGCCGCTGGTCCATGATAGCTGAGGTATGTCCCGATAGTGCCGCGATTCTTGAAAATCCAGCTGTGCAGAAAACAAGTATGATTATTATGAAGTATTGCTCAAATGTCAATTTAATATTTTATGACTGCAGACATCGTCTGCGCCATCCAAATGCATAATACTAAATGTAAGAGGCACTAAAATATTACATTAACCTGTAGAAATGTGGAGCTACTTAAATAAGATTAAAAAGAGGAAAATGAAACACCATTGTTCCTTGTTGCCTTTTCAGGCTGAAAAGACAGGTTGAGCTTGTCTTTTGGAGGTTGATGTGAATTAATCAACTTGTGTCGACTTACAAACCTCTCCAGCTCTCATCCCAGTCTGTGCTAAGCTACTCTACTTTGGTGAACAGGTGGTCCCCTCAGGGTGGGATTTTAATTTATTGGTATTGATGTTTAAACTGCATTTAAGTGAAGAGCCCAATTTGTCTTAAAACAGAGCAACAGGAGCTGGCAACATGGAGGAGTGGCTGTCACAGAGCGTGTATAGAAGAAATTTTAAAGTTTACTGGGTATTCGGGTTATGTAATTTGGTGTCTCACAGCAGACTGCAGCTAAATGCCCCAATGGAAAACAAGTCTCACAGGATGACAAACAATCATTTAAAAGCAGAGTTTCTTTAACCAAATATGTGATTGTATCTAGACTCACAGGTGCAAAATGAGTAAGATAAAACGAGCTGTAAACCTGCAGGTTTTGAGATTTATGAAGACTACAAGTAAACTCACCATTAAAAAGACATGACAAAGCAGGTACAAATACTTTTAAATGAAATCCCATAACCTTGCCTCCTCCAGATGTTCTCAAATAACAACTTATTCAGAATATTGGGGCTTAATTAACTGCACTGATTTGCAAGAACATTTGCTGGGATTTCTAATGAATAATTCCCTACCGTCTTACAGTCTTACAGACTCTGCGTATCCATTTTTTTGTAAACTAATATGCCCCAAGCTTTTCAAGCACTGGTGACACCCACAACTTTCCAAAGATAAAATGAATGTCGGTTAGGATGTTGCGAACAAGCTGGGTCACTTAAAACAGAACACACCAGTATTGCAAACACAAACATGCGCCAGAGAACTGAAAAAGATTAAACACCGATCAAAAGTCAGAGGTATAATTTTAAGGTATCGTACACATTACAGAAAGGCAGACAGTTTCAAAAACCTTCATGTCTGAGACCCTTAATTTTCCCTTTTAACTATACCAAACCTCTGTTGCTCTCCATCTACCTTCTCAAAGTTGTTTTGAAATTTCTCAGTGCCTCTTTGTTCTTTTACTCTCATCCTTAAATTATCACTGTGCAATACATAAAAATACAAAAGCTTGGAAATTATTTCTGTAGAAAAAAGGGGAAACCACAAATCATATCATTTGTACCATCCATTTCCAACTACACAGGAAATTACAACTTGTTTCTTTTTGCATGTTGTATACAAACTAGAGAGCGATACAGCTTTACAAATAATACTTCTGATACGGACAAGTTATACCCAAAAAGCACAACGTTTCCGATGCAACAGTGTGATGAAATGAAATGAAATTTCTGCAGCCAGTGTAACACTGTCAGATTTTCATTTCAAAGCAAAAAGGAAAGAAAGCATGACATCTGAACACCTGATAAAGTGCATATATGGGAGTATCTAGGGAAGTCATGAACAACGCTGATGATCATTTCATAGCTTGTTCTCTGTTATAAAGATAGAATTATTTACACAAAATGATGTGAGGTCCTTTTAAATATTCAGTTTATCCTAATTATTAATATCACTTAAGAAAAAATAAAACACTGACATACAAGTCTTACTATGCAATGCTAGACTTAAAGGCGTATAATGAGAAATTCTTCAAATCAAATAAGGCACCATAAAAATCACGTGTTTCACTTGTGTTAGTAAACTATATTTAAACTGATCACGAGCAAAGGGTCCTGCCAAATTTTAAAAAAAAATTTAACTAAAGTAATTGCGCATTTTTTTGTTTATCGAAACAACAAATAGCATTTTTGTGTTTGATTTTTAATTTCGAGCCTGTGTGCAAATAGTATAGATTTTTACATTTCATGTGTTTTGAGTGATGTGTTGCTAAAAAGGCCTTGTTTTCTGCACTGTCATACAGCTGAAACTGAAAATAAAGGTTAAATGCAGGATTGCTTAATTAGACTGTGTTAACGTTAGCAAAGTCCTGCTGATTATACTGAGTGTTTATTTTAAGCAGGAAAGTCAAAGTCATTGTGGCTTACTTCTTGTGAGGCTTGTCCGTGTGTCTTCCCATTGCAGCCGTTTTTCTTTGAGAGGCCAGCAGAAGATTTAAGCGTTTCACTGTGTTGGCCAGAAGAAGGGTTTTTATGGTGACCAGATAAGAGGCTGTCACCTGGCAACAGCGTCTCTGCCCACAGCCGACATACACTGTCCTTACAGCAGGTGAGCAGCACATTACACACTGCGCCCCTGTTAGGATAAAGGAGGGAGAAAAAGAGAGAGATTTTTTTTAAAAATTAATGGAATTTTAATTTCAATTACAATTCTGTCTTACAATGATTATTACATCACGATAACTGAGACAGAAATGATTATTTGTCTCAATCCATTTCACATTTGTACTCTCGTTTTGCATTTCTGCCCCTTATTTTCACTTACTTTTGCCTCTAATAAAAAAATTCACATTGTGACACCTTGCCAGCTCACATTTATTTATTTAATTCTTAAATTATAGTTGAAGTTCAGTTAAATCTCTTTAATTAAGACAACTGTGTTTTTCCTTTTTCAAAGTTCAGTGTAGTGTTCTTAAATTTAATTGTGTACGTAATTGTGTGGTTCTTCTGCTTGACGCCTGCAACAAGAGCACCAGATTGCTGCAATTCCCCTCCTGTGTGGAAGCCCTCTGAAGGTCACATACGATTACCAATATTATATAAAGCTATGAAACAATTTGGAATGTGCCAAATTTATTCAACCCACACCATCTGTAGTGACATATTTTAAATAAACAAAGACAGACATCAAACCTGTCGACAACAAGTTACCTCAAGCTGCTTTCTACTCTAATGTAAAGAAGATAAAGACCTAATATTTTTCAACCATCCTTTCAACCAGCTTGTTAACTTAGGCATTTTTTTTTCTTTTGCCCAGCTGTGGAAGGTTAGGTCATTTTGACCTAACCTTCAAAGAAAAGGAAGTTAAAGAAAAGGAAGTTAGAAATGGCTAGGAGATGACAAATTAACAGTGTCTGTACCGTGGCATGTACTTGCTGGTCTTCCTCCAGGAGAAACTGGTGACAGAGCGGGGATGAGCCAGGTAGATAAAAGAGAAGGCCAGCTCTCCCGGGTCACTCACATTGGCGTCTGGAGGTGTAAAGAGTGTGGTAACACCCATCTTCCACTTACTGGTGCTGTACCAAACCTTTATTAGGCAATCATCCTGAAAAGAAGAGGCAATGAAGGATATAAGCGATACCATAGGTAGTTCTAACAAAAAACACACGACACCAGAAGGTAGAAGTTAATTATTATCAACTAATTTCACATGAATCTAGAGTGTTCGGTTTTTAAGTGCGATGTAACAAAGGGACACAACTTACCTGACCAGCTGTGGCAAAGAACTCACCGTCAGGAGAGAACTTCATTAAATTGACTGGAGAAGCAGTCCTTGAGATACAAAATGAAAATTATATTCAACACTCCATGTCAATATAATAAGTAATGTTTAGGACAAAATAAAATCGGTTTAAACAAATTGCAGCAGGACATGCACTCAATCAGATAACTGAGTGCATGTCCTGCTGCAGTCAGATTTGTATTGAATATAATGTTACAGAAAAATGTGCATTAGCTGATTTTATTTTAATGTCTATTTGGTGCTTACAAGATAAATGAAAATCCTAATTTTAAAGTCTCTGCCTTGTTTGTGACTATTTTACAAACTCTGTTCTTACTTGCTCTGCCAGATACACCTCCAGGCAGAACGGCAGTCTCTTATGGTCATTTCTGCCGGCTGCCCCCTTTCATCAGCTTCATCCTTTACTCCATCAACATTAGACCACAACTGCAGGCTACTAGAGCCTGTTAGGAGAGTGCAACCTGGACAAACAAACATATACAGATATGATCTTTCAGGACAGATATCATCAAATTTCTGTTTAAAAAAAATTATTAAACATTTATATTTTGCCGGATCTGTAGTACCACCCCAACACTTCTTTTTAAATCACAACTGTTTATCTTAATATGTCTGTGTTACTTTAAGAAAGAACAATGGTTAGAGTACCTGTAGGGTGCCATGCTAGGTTCCGTACTATAGACTGTAATACAAATTGACCAGTCTTCTGCCATTGGCAGTTCAATTTCTGTACAGGAAAAACAGAAAAAAGCAAAATTCAAAACAAGTATTTCATGTTTTGGCAATTATGTTGGCTGAAACTTTGTGCAATAATTCCCTATTTAGATAAGCTCAGAAATAAATAAATTCCCTGTTTCGATGGTACATGTGGAACTATAGATGAAGCTTTAACAAGCGCTAACAGTGAACTTTCAATTGAGTCACATGCAATCAGGCAACACACACAGCATTGTAATACCAGGGAACTTCTGCAATAAACGAAATACGGTTTGTACTTAAGATGTTGTAAATTCTTCTCATTTCTTGTGGTTATTCTTTGACTTCTCTAACAACAGACAAAGCAAACGTCTTTACGGACTACAGAACAGAAACCAAAACAGTGAACATGACAATAATCGCATGATTTATGCAAGTAGTTGCAGAGGAACAATATTCTGCTCCATTTCAAATATCAAGAGAGTTTTGCCACACAGAAAAAGCTTCATTCATTCATTCTGGATGACCTGAAAACATGCATGACTATACTGTGACTGGAAGAAAGTGCAGGCTACTCACGGTCAACGATGAGTCTTTTTGATCTGGTTGCTGAACAGGCTCAAAGACACACACAATGCTTCCATAGGAAGCTGCAATCTGCCAGCAAAAAAAGGTCGACATTTTAGATATACTACAAAACAAATACAAAGGTATCACTGCAAACAGAAACATATACTGTCCTCCATATCAGCCTAGTTATCCAAATTTAAGTAATTCAAAAGAATTCTTGAAAGGTTAAATTTATGCTTTGTAATATAGATCAAAAATACTAATACTTATAGATCCTAATCAGAATCAACTATAACTTGCTTTATGAGTCATGACATATCTACACAGTAAGAGAGAAGACACCTTGACAACAGGCCAATAAATAAATAAATAAAAAATACCTTAAGTCATAACAACTCAGTGATGAGTGAATATAGTCTTATCTACTCTATTCACACCTCAATTTCATCAATTTGTAAGGGCTAAATTTTCAAGTAATTTCCATGGGACCCAAGAGTCATAATGTTAACTGAGCAAACGATAATACAAGCTGCGTCTTTAATGTGGTAAATAATATGCCAACTGTCAGGGAGGGAATTCTGTGAAGGGGTGAGTCACATGCACATGTTTAAATGTGTGTACACAGACATACAAGTCATCACATGCACAAGCATAGTCACATGGACACTACACAATGGCTCAAAGTATAAGACAGGCTTTTTGGGGCACAAATATAGGTTCTGCAGAAGCAGCACAGTTCAAATTTAATTAAATTCTAAAAGGCAGACACATTTATGCTGAGATCAAGTTCTGGGGATAAATCAGTCAATTCAACATGAGCCTGTAGAGCGACTGACAAAAAGAAAGAAACTGTGAGTTATAAAAAATTAAGTCTCCTTCTCTGTGGTTATAATGATGACTACTCTTTGGTCTGATTTTCATAAACCCCCAACTGAGACTTTAAGATGGTATTATGATAATATATATGAATATTACAAGAGACATCTTAAGGCTCTCATGAAACCATTGCCTTTACCAAGAAGAGATGAACAGTAGATTTGCAGGGCTAACTGTGATGGATGCAGCTTTTAAAAAGTTATTTTTACTCCTTTATGATGTTTGTAGAGCTCGCTTGCTCCACCTCCATACTGACTTTCTTTATTTGATTTCTCATCGCAAGTAGACATATATTTCTCAAAATAGTGTAGTAATATTTATGCTCTAGACACCTAATTACCCTTTAAAATAATCTATTTGGAAAATATATCCTTAATAGGAACAACATACTAAAGCTCATAAAATGATATGAACTGCTACAACACTTAAAGTATGAGCACAAAAGATGTACTATGTAAACTAATAGCATTGCAAATATCACAGTGAGCAGAGGGCAATGAAGTGGAAATGGCAAGCAGACCAACTTGGCATACTTAAACAGATGCTAGACCATGCTGGAGGCGTGTGTGGGTAGTTCTGGCCCAACGGAATTGGATTTAAGGTCACAAGGGAAGAAGTGAACGACTGGTTGAGCATGTTTTATATTTATTTAAATTATTTCAGTGTTGCCTGCACTTTTTAAAAAAGGCTACCACCCTCCCTAATTAAAAACTAATCCCAGTTCATTAGAATTGTGCTATATGATCTTTATTATCAGGTTTATGCAGATGTTGCAAGCTGCTTTTGTGGCTCCTTTTGCAGCAATGCTACTTACCAACAAGCAGAACTGTGAGTACTCGACTGCATAATGACTGTTGTCATTATGTACCAAGTTTTGTTTCCAGAGACACAAGAAATGTGTAGTGTATTAAGAAATAATCTAAATTCTGTGTTATTTTATCCTCTTCCCTTTTTCTTTTTTTTTTTACTGGAGAATCAAATTTAAATTCATGAAAAGAAGCCACTGTACAGGGTGAATATCTTGTAAATATATTTATGGTTATGGCTTAGTCACACAAGTAAAAATTGGCCATCTCCAGCGGTCCACCTCCAAATGGCTCTCGCAGGTAGCCTTGCCTGGTGACTTTTCGCATTTGGCAATCAATTATAAACAGCTGTGGCCACTAACTGATTAACCAAAGGTTGAACGTGCAACACTTTCAATCTTTAGCTGACCGCTTTTGATCATAAGGCAATCGCAGAGGTCACCTGCTATGAGTCTCCAAACATTTGTGGTCTGACTGCAGAGTAACTGATATGAAGCTCAGAAAGAATGGCAAGCGTCAGTCAGATTCTTTAAATTGCAAACTTAATTTTTAAAGTAACGTTATGCATTTCCTCATTTTCCTAAGAACTTTGCAACTGCAATGACATCACTATCTACTTCCTTAATTAGGTCCATCAAAGCAAATGCAAAAGAAAATCCTTCATCGTCTTTGTTCTGCATATGAAATGGGAAAGGCAATTAAGAACAGAACAGAAAGACTACATTAAATAACTACATCTTTTTTTCTTAAATGCAAATTACAATCACAGAAGATCTTTTGTTTGTGCCCACATTAAAGGACTTGTCAGTGACAACAGCAAATGCACTTGCTGTACAATCACCAGCTTTACTGGGTGGTTTTTACTTCACTTAGAGCTGATGACGGGAAGCTCGAGTTCATTAAGCTGCTCATTGATGTTGCCCGCAAGTGACTTCCCTGAAAGCATAAGCCGTCAACACTTAAGACAGCAGTAGAGATTGCTAATAAATTGCACTGCAAAACAGCTAATATACCAAAACAACTAAAAACAGCAAGTCACAAAGTGGAACTTGCTTACCACTCAATATAATCAACCACACGTGTGTGGTCATTATATTAAAGTAAAAGAAAACGGTATGTCATGGGGCCCTGCAATGTTTAGCACCTTCTGCTTTTTTTCTTTTTAATTTAATTATGGGTCAGATATTTTTTCAAACATTAAAGCTAATTTATAGTTGATCGTTGCTTTGTCCCAAGTAACCCATAAACTAAGTAAGACAGTTTATGGGTTTGGAATGAATATAATGTCTTATAACTTTATTCAAGGCTGGAACTAAAATATCTTTAAATTCCATTTTTCAATTAATTATCCATTTTGTCTAAAAAAATAAAACTTTTAAAAAGCCATTCAGAGCACAAACTAACACCTTAAAATGATATACAACAAAGACAAGCACTGAATCTGCACCTTTTCTAAGCTCAAGCAACTAAGTGTTTGCTATTTTTATGTGGAAAAATAAATATAATTAAAACAATTAATGAGCTATAAATAGGACTGGACCATATCATACCGTTCACAGTAATACCGGTATAATGTTGGGCAATAATAAGAAAATGAAATATCGCGATAGAATATGGGTAAAATACACATGCACGGTGCCTTTGTTTTCATACGCACATAGTGGAAAAAGCATGGCGGCGATGGAGAATGAGAAGGGCGAAAGCGGATCGTTGAATGAAACGGATGAACCACAATTGGTTTGTAAAAATGCTGCAACTTCAGTGGTGTGGAACTGGTTTAGCTTTCATCCGTCAGATACACAACAAAGCACTATTTTTGGTAGAGCATGCAAGCGGGCCGTCGTTATTACGTGTTGTTTGGAAAATACGGCACACTTAAAATCAATCCTTTGATTTTTCTGAAAATCGACAGTGCCCCTTATGATCCCGTGTGCCTTATGTATGAATTCTGGTTGTGTTTACTGACCTCGAAACGATTTTATGTCGTACACGGCGCTCGAAAATCTGTCAAATGTTTTAGTACAACTTTGCTAAGCTACGAAGCACCGCTTGATGGATTGTCGGAGCATTACGGCTATCGTAGGCAGGAGCCTCGCAGAGTGATACTTACTGTGCTTCAACATAATATTACTGTATTGTGTGTGTATATAACCTTTTTTTTTTGTTTTTTTGGATATTCTACATGGTTATGCTGAGGATATGTTGGATATATTTCCAATGGAAATGCCTTTTGGTTAAACTGTCAGCAAGGAATTTGCATTTGCACTGTAAAATATTTATGTAACTTTAATGCAAATAAAAAACAGCTGCTTCTTTAAGTGAAAATACATTGATGGGTTTTTTTTGCACTAATAAAGTTGTGGAGTTGTAAAGTGTTTTGTCTAGTGTCAATTATATCGTCAGTTATATCGTTATCGCAAATTTTCAAATGTATATCGTGATAAATATTTTTGGTCATCTCACCCTGCTCTAGCTATAAATATATGTTATCGTCTAATGGTCTTACATAATTACTCTATGTGGCAAACCATTTATCTTTTACTGAAATCTGGCTCCATTTATTTTAACTGGGATTTGCTTTAGTTACATCACTGGGATCTCACGCTTGCGCATTCAAGCACAAGTCAGCCTGAGGACCCCAGTGAATAAAAGCACCACACCGTTGGCCTTACCTGTCCACCCTGCAATGAGCAGTCGACACAGCCGACCTGTATGTTGCCATGTTTGGCCCCTGGGATGATCTGCAGTCGCTCAAAATCACTGCCCAAAATCACCACGTCACAACCTGATGCATAGGCCTATCAAGAGACAAGACAGTGAGAGGGTTAGAGAAATGAACATGATACTCTAAGATTCATCTGGCCAGGATTGCATGAAGGGTCACTTGAACTGCACTTGTCCCAGAGATATTGTCAAGGCATCAAACATGCCATCATATGACAGCCCTCAAGTCCAAGCAGATAAGATTAGAATTCCATGCTCTATTTCTGTGGCACTCAAAAGGAGCTCCTCACATGAACTGTGATTCACTATGACTTTTCCTCTTTCACAAGAGGACATAAGGACAATAATGGCTCCCCGATTAATCCATTCCTGAAAAGCATGTTGCCAGTGTCTGAAATTAGCACTCTGACTCACCTGTCAAGGGGTCAGGTAGACAAAATCCATCAGTAAGGTTTTGTTTTTTTATACCAGTCTCATGAGATGGGATTACATTTTGAATAAAACCTACCCTTGAAGGAAAAAAAGAAGTTGATTTCAGCCCTCAATGCTCTGAAAAATTAGAGCATTAAAAAACGTAATGTAATCTAATTACTCTAATCAACTTAAATCTCCTTTCTTCACTGTTCAGACTCTACTGCAATCACATTCTTCTTTGCATGGTGTCAAAAGTTTGGCCGCCTCCTCACAAACTCATGACACCACAGAATGACCAGTACAGGCAGGTTTTCACATACTGGTGATTATTTGGTGTTTATTACTTACTTTGAGGCAGAGCTGGGTGACAGCAGAACATACAATAACATTTTGACAAATAATAAAACAATGACACAGAAAGTCTATAATACAGCAGAGACTTTCATTATTGTTGTTGTTTTTTTAATTACATTTATTTTATTTACAAAGTTGCCACCAGTGTGTCGAACATTTATGTAATTCTCTAATAGAGTTTTAAGCTTTGAGATCACATGTATTTCAGCTTCTGTTTTTCATACATAACAAAGTCCCAAGCCCATTAAACAACTTTGTGCGGTACATTAGCACATTAGGTTTCAAAGGAATCTGCTAGGAAATCTGCTATTGTGACAAATCAGTTTAGCCACCCCCCATGAATCAAAGCTCCTAAACTGCTGAGGGGGGAAATACTTCCAGAGTCTGAAATATCTTACCGTGAATGGCACATTGTTGACGCTTCCTACAGAGAAACAGTTGTCTCCAGGGTTGACAGCTCCCGTAAGGACCTGATGGAGATTCATGACTCTTGATTATAGTCCACGTGTTATCCTTCCTCTTCTTGCCCTTTTCACAGAACCCTCCCACTCCAGGTGAGATTCATGGGAAACCATGAGAAGGATTTGCTCATCTTTGTGTGTAACCTATAATTTCACATCAGCAGCATCACTACAGACTTGCTGTCACAAGAAGAAGAGGAGGAAGAGATAAACAGCACATGATTTGGTTCAGTCAGCGTCAAGCCTCAAGTACATTACCGACTCCCGGATATTGACTGCAAATTAATTTTAACACTCAGCACTTGTAATATTAGCATGGAAGAAATAAATGTCTCTAAACAGTCTTTGTCAAACCACACTATGAAGGCAAGGCATTCAGTAATCTTAAAAACATTTTGTAAAAGAGCCTTGGTGTACCTTGGTATTAGTCTTTTTATTTAGCAAACAGACAGCTTAGCAAACTGGCACCAAAGCTCTTCTGATCCCCGTGACCCATCTCCAAATTTAAAAATGCACACCATTAGTTCAGCGTCAGCACTTTTAGAGGTTATAACCAAGAGGGCTTTAATTGAAAGAGATATGCAGTCAGCTTGGCAGACCAGTCTCTAATTGTGCTAGAAAAGTATTCAGAATCTGTAATAAATGGAGTAACAACCAGGACGGATAAAAAGTGATAGGGGCTATGAAAGGTATTTTTCACTGTGGCTAAAATTGGGAGCACTGCAGAAGCAAGGTGATGGTGTAGCTCATGTTTTGCTAGCTCCCTGCACATTATCTAGTTACAGGAGGGAAATTTGAAACCACTGTCAAAGGTACATATTTGCACATAGCTGAAACAGCACTGACTGTCTTAACAAAAGACAAATAAAAAACAGTTCTCCCAGAGTTACTGTTCCTTCAGTAACAGGAACAGATGTGGGATTTAAAAGGGTTTACTAATTACACTAAAAAAAAAAAACAGTATTTCACCTTTGTGTATTTGGCAGCGAAGTAAATTCAATACAAGGAGTCCATTAATCAAAAGGGTGCAGGGAATTTGTACGGAGGGTTAAATGGATCACCGGTGCAGGTTACACCTTATTATAACCCTACAAGCCCGGTTAATCAACTTATCATACAATCAAGTGCTGAACAGTCTGAAAATCACACGTTTAAACAAGTATAGATTACGTGTCGACCGCAGGTGCGCTACTGAAAATAATGAACGAAAAGTTTCAGAGACAGTTTTAACGATTCAAAAATTTAACGCTACAGAACAAAAATAACACCACCAGAAGGATAAAAAAAAATCCACGTCAGAGGGGTTAACATATGCTTCCTGTGCTGTGGCAACTCACGTGATAACGTTTCACAAGCCAGCGCATTAAAACACAGCTACCGACACCTCATCTGACTAGCATTTTTTTCTCCCGTTTAGACAAAAGCGTGCATTTAGCTCACTGTCACTGTGCAAAAGCAGACATTTCATACATGTTTTCAATCCCTCCAGTCGTAACGCTAACTTAGCTGTCAAGTTTAACTAGCTATCAGCAGTCTTTCAGGACACACAGTAACACCACCAGTAATTATCTGCTTACCTTATGCTGCTGCTTCTTGACATCTCCTGCAGATATAACATCAACGGTTACTCCCGTCGCCTGATGTTTTCGGTGAATACAGTTATAATCTCACGGATTCGGTCTTAGTTTAGCTAGCTTTTGCTAGCGTTAGCTCGCACTAGCTTCTGATGCTCGCTCTCTGAGCAGGCTCATAGGCTACAACGCTAGCACTAGGTCACTTATGGCGCACATTTGCCCAACAGTCAATACTTTACGAGAGAAGGAACTATCTATTGACTCAAAATGTTGACTCTGAGTAGGAGTCACCCTCTGCCCGAGGTTAGCAAATAAAACCCTTCCAAAGAGGAAGCTTTTCCTTATGTTGAAGATATGTGATGATAATGACTGTTTCGCTGCAAAGCATCGTGGGTCTTGTAGTTTTAAAACCGTGCTCGCACTCTCGCGCGTGACGTTCACGCACACAGGCTTTTACAGTTGTAGCTAACACGTTTTGCGTTGTTTTTCGTGGGTGCATTGGCTTGTATAGAGAAGGTAAATAGTTAAATACAGCCATACCTGGAGATGGTTGTATTTAACGTTTTTCTTTTACACTTTAAAAATGTAAAAACGTAAAAATATGACTTTTATGTTGTTTGAACTTTGTCCCCAAAATTTTACAGTAGCACTATCATACAGTAGGAGTATTTTTGAGCACTGTACTGACTGTAGGTTGACCAGTTCATAACAAAAACGTGTGGGGTAAGGAATATGTCTGTATGAGGGACTGGGATCTTACCCAATAATGAGAGGTTTAAACTGTTGATACATCTAACACAGCTCTGTCATCAGTCATTTGAAGGACTAATACTATATTTAATAAGTGAAAACTTTAGCTGTAAATGACAGCTAAAGTTTGTATTCATAGAATGGCTATTAAAGCTGTTAACTCATCCCCTTTTGAGCTGTATTTTTCTTCTTTGGGTAAAATATTTTTAAAATATTTTGAAAACTATAACCTTTGAAAATGTGGGGCGTTTTCTCAATTTTTGGGAAACAAGAGGTAAAAATACTTAGCAGTCCCACACAAATTTGGACACCTAGGCCACCTAACTACATTTACACAGCTGTGAAAAAGTATTTGCGCCTTCCTGATTTCTCAGTTTTGGGTTTTGTTTTTTTTGGGGTGGGTTGAGGGGGCTGGATTGTGCATATTTGTCACACTTCATCACCAAAAGAAACCAAACCAAACCAACATGCAGTTTCAAATGATGTTTTAATTTATTAAGTAAAAAAGTTATCCAAACCTACCTGGCCCTGTGTGAAAAACTACCCCCACCCACTCATTAAATCATTAATTAGCTAAAAAAAAAAGGCAAAGGATAATAACATCTAAGAGTAATCTAAAGAAACTCAAAAACAGATTAGATACAAAGTCACTGACGTTTATGAGTGTGGCAAGGCTTACAGTAAACCACAGTAAGAGCCATTATCCACAAATGGAGAAAACTTGGAACAGTGGCGAACCTCCCCACTACCAAAATTACTTCAAAAGCATTTTGACTACTCATCCAGGAGGTCACAAAAGAACCCATAAAGGACTGAACAATAAGATGGAGGCCAAAAAAAATTGCATCCATGGGAGAGTTCCAAGGAGAAAACTGCTCCTGACCAAAAACAGCACAAAGGCTTGTCTCACATTTGCCAATAAAAATCTTGATGATGATCCCCATGAATTCTGGGAACATATGGGTTTGTGACCCATTACATCTGGCCTAAAATAAACACGGTGTTTTATAAAAAAAAATAACATCATACTCACAGTCAAATGTGGTGGTAGTGTGATTGTCTGGGGTTGCGTCAGGACCTCGATGACTTGCTGCAGTTGATGGAACCATGAGTTTTGCTCTCTACCAGGAGGAGAATATCCAGCCATCAGTTTGTACCCTGACCATGTATGCTCAAAAACCTTCCAGTGTGGCTGAATTAAACAACTGTGCAAAAAAATAGTAGGCCAAAATTCCTTTACGGGGATGTGATGTATCACAAATGCTTGATCACCATCAGCTGAGATTTGGAATCTAGAGAAGTCTGAGTTCTATGTGAGACTTGTAGCTAAAAAGCCACTGTTCAGATGTGGAATCAAGATGAAGCCTCACTTCAGCCCTGAAAATGTGTGCAGAATATAGCAGCAGGTTCAGTGGACTGATGAGTCAAAATGTTGAATCCTTACCACTAACAGAAGCCAGTTTGTTCTCCAAAGGGCAGGCGATTTATGCAAGGAGTGTAGTCTAAGGATCCCTCAAGGCTTGGGGTGTAATTTTGACAAGTTTGACAATTTGGTCAAAATTATCTGTCTCTTCAGTGTTGAGAAGTACAAATCCACCAGGGAAGCATCTGATGAGCCCCAAATGAATTTGGAAGCATAACAATGATCCAAAAGAATCAAAAAGCTGCATCATCAATTGAAAGAAGTCCCACAGAGCCCTGATTACAACATTCTGGAGTCAGCATAAGGATAGTGAAACAGCCTAAATACATGAAGTAATGTGGGGAAGTTTTCCAAGATGGTGTAACAGCCTAACTCCCAAAGTAAATGGAAAAACCATGCAACTCTTGGAGAACTGATACTAATTTTTAAAGAGAAGGCATGATCTCAGCAGCTGTAAGTAATGCCCAATTATTGTTTTTGTTAAAGGTAAATAAATATTGGTCCTTGCTTGACCAAGACTCCAAAGTGTATAAGTGAGGCGACTGAATTTCTTGTATTAATTACAAATAACCACAAGGTGTCATTGTTGTTCAGCACACTGCATTCCAGTTTATTTTCACCAGTCGGAATGATTGAACCATTAGGCTATTAGGCCTAATGATGTGATGCTTTTCATTTCCTCATGTCGCACCTCTATAAATACTTTGTGCTATCGCCTTTTTGTCTAAAGCAATATAATTGGATGGAAATGCATTGAATTTTAGTGAATGAGCACAGTATAACTGTAATCTCATAGAGGCCCATGCTCTGTGATCATTTATCCCACAGATAACTTCTTAATGTGCACTATATTTTCACAAATTCTGCTTGAGCTCCACTGTAATGAGCAAAGCAGTGTTGAACGGGGATGAAAATGAGGATGGTGGGGAGTGCAGGCTTCAAACTCAATTAAGTCATGTTGAGATAAATGGGACAGACACTCTCCATTACTAATTAAAATGGCTGACATGTTAGTGACATTAGGGAAGGTTGACGGCGTTTTGCGATGATGAAATTGTTGACTTTCCAGTCAGGAAGTAGGTCACAGCATTATTAAAGATGATACTATAAGCTATTTCATACTGTTTTTTTTAAATATTCTTAACATTCATGGTTGATCAGCGTACTGCTGCCAGTTAAATGTAACCTATGTCTACTATACATGTAGAAAACTGACATGGGAGTCATTTTTGCACACAGGCTTGTGCACGCCCACGTATCTCTGCACCCACACACAATCCATCTTGCTATATTGTCACCCTGTCTCCTTTTACCATCTCAGTTTTCTAGCAGTGGGTTTGACTTTGAACACCATTCACAGAGAAAATAAAAGAGAAATTTTTCATAGACAAACTCTAGCCTGCAGTGTAGAAAGGATATTGCTGCTCAGTGTACTATTGAATGCTGTGAGTTTGACTAAGGGGGATTAGTTCTTTGCCAACATCTTTCTTTCTTTTCATTTTTAAAAAAAAAAAAAAAACTTTTTGCTGCAGAGATACAGTAGATGTGTGCCATAGTGTGCCTTTTAAAAATAAATAAATAAATAAATGTTGGAATTTAGGTTTTAGGTTTTAAAATTTAGGTTTTAAATTACTGGGTAGGATGGAATACATGCTCTACATGTTATGCATTATTGTACTTTTAGAAACCAGTTTACATTAATCAATAGCAAATTGTAACAAATTAAGTATGTGTGAATGATTTGTTCATATATACCTACTTTGTACTTTTTGGAAAATACTATACACTCTGCCAAAGATGCAGATGCAATTTCAAGACACAACATGGTTGAAGGGTGTCTCCCCGGGTCTCTTTTTTACTTCTCACATATTTCATAATTTGCATTTATTGGCCATTATCAATGCCAACATTCATATATATTGGCAAAAAGGTGATACGTGACCTACTGACAAATCAGTCAGGCTCTTTGTTACTCTAATTTGGCTTATTTTTTAACAAGAACACAATCAAATGTTTTCATTGCATTGCTAAAATTGTTACTATATTATTATTATTAGTAGTAGTAGTATTGATTTGAATTCCTTTACTAGCAATAAAAAGAACTATTGTGCATTTGCATAAAAAATTATTAGCTGTTAGTATATATTAAGTTTGTGATTCCTGCAATATATTAGCACCGTTTAATTTCCTAAAGTGTACATTTTGTATTTTTTTTCACCTCGTGTTTGGATCTTGCGGTTAGGTTTGTATTTATGTACAGTAACACGCAGGTTATGTTTCTTTTAGTATTTTGTAGTTGCTCATAATATAGTATTTTATTTTTTTAATCTCTTTGTTATGTTTTCTGTTCTTTTTCCATGTCAGGTTGAATTGAGAATTTCAGACGTGGAAAGGATTAGTGAGAACATCTTGGTGTGAAACTAGACTGCAGAAGGTTCTCGTCTAATTAGGGAAGAATATGTTCTTTAAAAAGATACAAAACTTGTATTTTATTTTTCCATATTGAACAAAGACACAAGAGGGCAGTATTGAAACGTAAATAAATTCTCTCTTGGCAAGACTAAACTGACAAGCCACTGCAGTTTAACCTCACGGTCTAAATTCATATGTGGCTGCTGCATAATCCTATTGTTCCAATGAAAAAGGCACTGCATTATGAATGAAGGTGAAAACACCTCAAACCACTAGCCTGCTCGGTTTTTACAAACACGTAAAATTTAGTTTCAAATTAAAGCCAACATAAATCTTCATTATGAAGTTTGGATCGCGTTCCAGATACCGTGAACTGAGCCACAGAAGGTTGAATCAGTCCTTCCTAATGCATAATCCATGAGTTTTTATTTTTCCCTTGAAATCTGAGTTGCCTCTTTGAAGTGCTTTGTGGTGTTATTATACAGTGGTTTGACGAGTAATAATGTTGATGTCTTGTATGAACTGTAATTACTGGATCTGGAGGTAGGAGGGCAATGCCAAAATGGGGCTTGAAGTTTCAGTGTGGCCATGCTTTGATGTTTCATGGGTTGGGGGAAGTGGAGCAAAGCTGCTTTTTCACAGCAGAAAATTCCCACAAGGTGCTGAACTTTGCCTGACAGACAGGGACATAAGTAACTAACCCTAATGGAGCATAGCGGCGAATAAAACAACTGTTCTTTCACAGAGAATAGCCATTTAACATTTGGCTTCAGTAATCACAGAATGCTAAAGAGTCTCGTCGCAGTGTAATTAAGTGTATCCTTTAAACACTCTTTAAACGATAAGCT